AACAAGGCGACACGTACTCGAACCATCCCCAATGCAACCGGCTATAGCAGGTACACATGGAAAGCATCTCCAACGGAAGCAATCGCTAGTGTGGCTGCCCCCTGCCACGTATGCCAAAATAGTTCAATGACGGTCAGTTTTTGTCACAGATCTATCCACTTCTATGACGATTTTCTAGATTCGTCATAGAAGTTCAAGAATGATGCGACTTCTATGATGAACCATTTTTCATCATAAATTCGTCATAAAAGTGAAATTATGATGAATTTGGCTCCTTCAATGATGAAAGTTGTTCGTCAAAGAAGTGGATATTCCTAGTAGTGGATGAAATGTGTGGGTATCATGCTCTTCGGTCCACTCTACATGTTGACTCTAGGCTTCTACAACTATTGGTGAGTTTGCACATGTATGTGTATGTGCTTGGGTAGAGAAGCTAAGGTCACAGTTGGCGTAACTAACCGATGTACTAGAAGCTATTGTGAACTTGGCTGTCGTTGTTCGAGGCGCGGCGTGCCCCCAAGTGCCTGTTCGTGGTGCTGTCACGGTCCCTAGGCCACAAGCTGGTGAGGGCACTTCTTTATCGCTTGGGGTGGTCGTAGCCGGTGCGGGTCGAACTCTCGAGGACTTTGGTTCGATCCTTGCCGGCTCGATGTCCTCGGCGGGTTCATGAGCCCCCGCGAATGGCTTCGTCATAACCGTCTATTGTAGTCCTTGGCCAGGAGGGTTCGTGCACGTTGGTGCACGAGCCTTCGTGGCACAACGATGTCACAGTCATCGTGTCTCTGTTTCTGGATATGGTTGCTGCTCTTGACGAAGAGCTAGCATGACCTGTCGCTGCAGAAGCGGGTTCTAAGGGTGACGTAGTTTGGTCCGCTCGACGCGGCGCGTTGAATGCTCAAGGGGACTGCTTCCTTGGATGCACGTGCCTCTGTGTGAAAGATGACAGTTTGTGATGGTGTGACGAATGGCTGGCCCGTCATGTGGGACTAGGTCTCAGTTCTAGGCTTGGCCTTGCGAGGCATGGCGCCAGGTAGCCACCTGGTCGCTAACGACGTCGCCACATGGCAGCGAGTGATTTTGTCGCTCGTGCGTGCCCTGACTTGTCGCGTTCAGCTGGTGGTGGAGATGCCGCTCGCGGCGTGGCTCAATCGACGAATCCAGGCTTCCCACATGGTGGACCTGGATGGGGTAGGAGTCGATGATGGGCGTTGATCCATTGGTGTGGACAATCTCATGGTTCCCCAAAAGGATGTGGCTGGCTAAGACCATTCCATGGGTGAGCTCCCCAAGAGCCATGGGCCTTTGGCTTCATGGGTGGAAGGCCTGGCCATGGTCGGCGATGAGAGAGGGTACTGGCTCACCTATGTAGGTGAACTCCAGGATGTAGCCACTAAGGGCAGTTCCGAGACTGTGTCCGTCGTAGGCCACGAGGTCTAGAGCTCTAGAGCGGAGGTCTAGGACGTGGCCGAAGGCGGACGCGGGTGCTGGCCCTTTGACGCCGATGAACCCATAGTTTTCATGACGGATGTGACCGCCGCGCGCCATTCCATGAGCAAGTCCACCGACGGTGCGAGGAGCCATCGCTTCCTTCTCAACAAATGAGAGTGCGCGATTATCTCCTACCTAGCGCGCCAACTGTCGGTATTTTAAAACCAGACTAGTAGATTTATACGAATGTTGCTGCTCCAGGAAGACGATGGTAACATCCAAAAGACATGAGGATTTATATTGGTTCAAGCTGAAACCCTACATCTAGTCTCAGAGATGATCAAGTGCGCGTTCCTCGCTTGAATGCTCTAAAGTTCTTACAATGGGGGTGCAAGAATGGTGGAAGAGGTAGGAGAGCTAGAGCTAGGAGATGGGTTGTCCGAAGGAAAGCTTCGAGAGACCGAAGAGAATGGAGATGTGTTTGATGAAGATGCCCCGAAAGGGGGGACCTGGCTACCTTTATATAGAGTCAGGGGCTAGGTTATAAAGAAGGAGGTTCTCCTGACCGAGGGGTCGTGAGCTTGAGGGAGGGAATATTGCTAACTTGGCTTGCAAGTAACGTCGTCTTGTGGTGCACATCCAGACATGGCTGTCGTCATGGTCTTGCACCCACGTCGCGGCATGGTGTGGCGTGATGCTACTATGCCAGCTATGGCGACACTATAGGCACGGTGGTGGTTCGCCAGCCGTCCTGTGCGATGTGGTCTTCGTCATGGCCTTCATCACCGCCTGATCTCATAGGGACGCCATATAGGAGTTGGTAGCCGCCCCCAGGTCGTCGATCGTATCGTTAGCTTATGGGGTTGGTGGCCACGATCCCAGGCTCTAGGGTCGTGGCTCCTGTTGGCTTGGATGGCCTCTAAGTCAAGGCCTTCGTCGTGGATCCCATCCCGTAGCGGGTGGGATCATACATACGTCTTGTCGGGCCATATTTGGACGGTATTTCTCTGTACTGACCGTCACCGCTTGGCAGTGTTGTCTTGTCTGCGCTAAGTGGCGCAGGGGTGGTGTCTGATCGGGCCGAGGTGACTGTTGTCCCCTCGGTCCTTGCAGGGTCAGTGTGACATGCCTGCTCTTGTCAAAGCATACGTGCTTGGTGGGCTCGATTTCTCTCGTCCCTTGCTGCATATCGTGCGGCTAAGGTAGAAGGAAGGGGTCATGGCAGACCCCGGCCTTAGCATTTGGTCTGGCCCCGCTCAGTTTGGCTAGGCCTCGATCGTTTGGGCTTATGCAAGCCGGTGTATCGTGGGTCGTCCGAGCGGCTATCTAATCGGTGCCTTCAGATACCCGGGATATCATAACCCCGACACTAGGATATATACTATAGTTTATCCTTGTAAGGTTTAGGCCTTAGATATTGAGTGTTTTGAGTGAGTGGGCTGTGTTGCCCTTGTATGGTGGCGTTCTAGAGTGCTTGAGGTCTTTGTGACCTTTAGGTGATGGCACGGTGGCCTTCGAGGATGAGACCCACTATTCTTGGTGTGGAGCGGTGCTGTATTGGTGTGTAGTGGATGAAGAGACCCCATCCATTGTGTGGAGAAACTCCATACTGGACACAACATCAAGGTGAATACGATTGAGTATAGCTGGTGAGAACGTGTGACTCGCAGCTGCCTTTGATTTGTATTTGGCACCATGATCGAATCAAGTGATAGTGGTTGCAACTGAGATTTGGTATCTCATGGCACTGTCCAACACAATAGTAGGGGATCAGGTGGCATAAGAGCCTTTGTGACTCTACGTCTAAATTATCAATATAAGCTATTATGAAAAGAATTAAATAACCATAAAATATGCTATATGTGTTTCTAGATTACCCAGTTCTACCACGGTAAAAAATGAAAGTAAACATACATGTTATGTTTCATACATTAGCAATGCATATATATTTGTAAGTTCATCAATAGTAAAAATACATCCCTATCCAATCATATACCTATGACACTGACAATTCATTTTAAATTACGTTAGATCTCTATTAATCTTATAAGTTGTTAATTTAGATAAGTTATATATTTTTGGCTAACATATCATGACATATCAATATAATGGTAGTTCAGTTGTAATAACTCTTTTTTTATATATAAAACAATACCACTACATATATAATACTTTAAGAGAGAAATTGAACATCTTGTGTGGCGTGATGCAGACCGAAACGAATGTTTGTGCCATTTTAGTGACTAAGAGTGGGGTTTAGGACTTATATTATATTTTATTAATAAAAGAAAGATTTTGAATAAAAGATATAATAAACACTAGAGTGTGAACATAACACTGGATAAAATAAATGCAACAACTAATAAGATCAAAAGTGTAAGGGCCTGTTTGGTTTACACCTCCTAAAGTTTAGTCACCTACACCAGTTCCTAAACTTCAGTCACCCCTTATTTGGTTTGGTGGACTAAAGGAGATCTTTTAGTCCCTTTTAGTCAGTGTGTTTGGCTTCAAAGTGACTAAAAGATGAGGCAGCCTGACTAAAATGATTTAGCAACATTTGAGTGAATAGTTGTCTAAAACCCATTTAGTCATACTTAGTCAAAATGTTTGGGTAAAAAGTGACTAAATGAGACTAGATTTAGGAGGTGAAGAGTGAACCAAACACCCCCTAAGACAAAAATATGCATTAATGATGTCACAAAAGGTGATGCAACAAGAGATGATATAACTTCATTCAAGATTTGAACTAGATCAGAGACTTATTAAGAACCCACTTAGGTGTAATGCAAGGAATAAAAACATATATATAGAAATCAGCAAATTTATCGGTCGGATATCAGATTACGGAGCATCTAAATGATTATTTTGCTAGAAAATTAATAATATATAAAGAGAGTAAATAACACAATTTATTTTGGTTACTACTAATTATCTGTTAAGTTGTGAATACATATATGTAAGATGAAAGTTTGGACCCAGCTGGAGCAGAGTTGGTGAGCCCATACACTGAAGGAACGGAAGGGTCAAAGCCGTAGTGAAACAGTACAGAGCAAAAGGTCAGTGAAGCATACTAGCATAGAAAATACCGCCGGCAGTCGTAGCAAGCAGATTTCTGCTTTTGTCGCCACCGGTTTCAGTCGCTGTGTGGGCAGAAACCACGGGTGGGCGCTGGGCAATCCCCCACCTCCAACAGGCCTGCAATTCCGGCGCTCCTCCACGGGCGGCGGTTCCCCTCTTTATTCCCGCCACATGCCGTGGGCACGCGCGCAGGCCACGCAGAAAAAACCAGCGGCCGCGCGCACGGACCCGGCCGACGACTCCGGCGACCACGCACGACAAAACCCCGGCGCCGACGTATCGCGCACGAGAAACCCACAGGATCACGCCATCAGGAACGGGCAAAAAAATTGGCGTTGGCAGTGAAAGTCAAGCACCGGAGCCGGAGCGCCTCCGTCCGAGACGGTGTAGTATAAAGCTCCGGTGACGCGTGCACGCACGGCTAGCAGCTAGCAGCCGAAGTAGTAGCGGTAGTGTTTCTCCATCCGTCCTCCAGTGATCGGCGATCGCGCGCCATGAGGCTCCGCGGCGTGCTGCTCGTCCTGGCGCTCCTCCTGGCCGCCACCGCCGTCGTGCCGGTGCTGCTCCTGGGCGAGGACGACGACGACGGCGCCGCCGGCGTCGCGCCGGCGCCTCCGTTCAACTCCTCGCGTGTCAAGGCCGTCTCGTGGCAGCCAAGGTAAAACAGCGACACCGAGAGCACGTAGTACGTAGGAGGAGGAGCGACGACACAACACATGCTGACGAGGTTTCGTTTCGTGCTTTTCGGTCCGGGCTCCGGCGCATCGCGTACAGGATCTTCGTGTACAAGGGGTTCCTCTCCGACGCCGAGTGCGACCACCTCGTGACTCTGGTGAGCGACCGCGCCGCCGCCGGTGATCGATCGGTGGGTTTTGTTTGCAGTACATGGAACTGACGCATGCATGGCTACGGCCGGCGGTTGAATTGAACTTGAACAGGCGAAGAAGAAGATCCAGCGGTCGATGGTGGCGGACAACCAGTCTGGCAAGAGCGTCATGAGCGAGGTGCGCACCAGCTCCGGCATGTTCCTCAACAAGCGCCAGGTACGGGACGGTACCCCCTACCTCCCTCGGTCTCTACGAAATTTAAATTTCTGCCTTCCTTACCGTTGACACTCAGTCCTACAAATGTGCCACATAAACAGTGAAATTTGCTTCATTTTTGCTATTTCTGAGAACGTGGCAACCCTTCTAGCATCAATTTATGACCGGGTTGCACTTGTGCGGGAACAGTTCTTCTCAAATATTCATTCAAATGCCAAGTTCGTAGCATGAACCGCTGTCAAAATAACATATAAATATCCATTCAAATCTTTGTAGCATGCACGCTGAAATAGCATATAAATGGGTTCTTCGATCTGTAGTCGGTCGGTCATACCCTACATGCCCTTTCTTCTACTACTAGTCCCCACCACACACTAAAACAAATCACAATGCAGTGGGCCGGGCACTCCAAAATTTCGAACTTCAACACACTACTCCAGTAGATGCCTCGAACCTGCGGCCGCTGCAACCCACTGTTCCATGGGGCCTCATCCTCATCCTCTGGAGGCAACGATCTATTATGGAGCACGGCCGGACCCCGGACGCCATCTTGATCATGACGTCTCCTGCCTGCCTGCTGTGTGGCTGTGGTCCAAGTGCAATCGAGATCGCAAACCGCTTTCCAGGCGTTTCAATTCCTCTGATTCCCACAGCACAGCTATTGCAAGGTCAAATGCTCCGATCCCAGCAGCTGCATATTGCTCTGAATCCGACTGACGGCACGCCGGCACGCCCCCGGCAACCCGTAAACATACAGGCCGGCGTCAGTCGCCGGACCACTGACCGCCCCTCCCTCCCTCCATCCCCTCTGTGCAGCAGTAAGTAAGGCTGCAGGAATCGATCGGTAGCCATCCATGGTCCATGGCGATGGCTGCTGCAGCAGCTATGCTTCCTGGCTCAGCACTCACTGCTTCCACCATCCGGCCGGGACCAGTTCAGGATTTGGGTGGTGGTACAAATGGCTGAAAACGAATTTGCTGCTGAATTTTGCAACTGCTGACCTGCATGCAGCAACTCCATCATATTGACTGACAGAGTGGCAGTAATGTGTTTTCTTTCTGTCTTCTTGTTTTGTGCAGGACCCGGTGGTGAGTAGGATTGAGGAGAGGATTGCAGCGTGGACATTTCTTCCTGAAGGTGAAATAGCATCCATACTCAGATCGTTGTTTGCTTGAGTTCATTAGGATGTACGTACATTCAGGGTGAGGCCTCTTGGCATAACATAACCAAGCTAATAAGGGTGATTTGGTTTCATCAGAGAACGCTGAGAACATGCAGATACTGCGCTACGAGCACGGCCAGAAGTACGAGCCGCACTTCGACTACTTCCACGACAAGATCAACCAGGTCCGGGGAGGCCACCGCTACGCCACCGTGCTCATGTACCTGTCCACCGTCCACAAGGGTGGCGAGACCGTGTTCCCCAACGCCATGGTGCTCTGTTGCTCATATACTCCATGTTCTTGGCGTGTGCTTTATCAACTGTCTGTGCCTCTGTGGTGGTATTGGTATACTACTGACACTGCCAGCACAAACTGATGCAGGGGTGGGAGTCTCAGCCCAAGGACGACACTTTCTCTGAGTGTGCACACAAAGGATTGGCAGGTAATCTCCCATCTCACTCGCATCTGCAAATCTGGCACGTCCCTGAATTTCAAGATGTGAAAATCCTCGCTATGTCTGTCTTCAAGAACAGAAGCATCAGACTCAGAAGCTCAGGAACTCTGAAATCTGAACATAGAGAGGCTGATAGATTTGCTTGTCGCATTGCGTGCAGTGAAACCGGTGAAAGGCGACGCCGTGCTCTTCTTCAGCCTCCACGTCGACGGCGTGCCAGACCCGCTCAGCCTCCACGGGAGCTGCCCGGTGATCCAAGGCGAGAAATGGTCCGCGCCCAAGTGGATCCACATCCGGTCCTACGAGCATCCCCCGGTAGTCCCGAAGGAAACCCAAGGATGCGCCGACAAGAGCGAGCACTGCGCGGAGTGGGCCGCGGCAGGCGAATGCGGAAAGAACCCAGTGTACATGGTAGGCGCCGAGGGGTCGCCTGGGCAGTGCCGGAAGAGCTGCAATGTCTGTGATTCTTAGGCTCTTTTGCATTTTCTTTGAAAATGCAGTTTTCAGATGACTAGTGGCAGTTTTCTATACTTGATGTGTACATAACATAACTAGTGAAAGTTTTGTTCAGAATTTCAGATGATGACATGAGACAGTTATTTGAGTTTTCAGACAGTTAACAGTAGTAAAGAGACAGATGCCTCCTTTTCTTATGTTTTTGGAACATTAAAATTTACATTTACTGCAAGGGAAGATGAAGTAAGTTTTGGTGTTTACTGGTTCTTCAGAAGGAATGGAATGGAATCTGGCCTACCACTGGCAGTGGCAGCAGCAATGGAACTCCATGTCCCACATTAATTTTGTTGGCTTGCATCACAGTGGATTTCAGGACAGCCAGTAGTGTGTCAGGGAGGCGGCTGCAGGCTGCCTCAAAAATAACAAACTCCTTTGGCACTTTCCACAACATAGAAATTGTGTGGACTTTCTCTCGGGCCTCACCTCTGCTTTTGTTCAGACAAGTTTTGTTTTCCCTCAAAAGAAAAGGTTGATAAATCACATCTTAATATAAAAGGAGTTTGCACCCCTGTTTTTTTTTTTCTTCATGAAACGCAAATATGAATGGATCTTCAGTGTAAATACAAATATGTTGCTCAGGCCTGAAAATGGAAGTGCAGTGCGTAGTCAAGATCCAATAAAAAAAGGATAGTGACCTATCACCTGGAAGTAGTGGCAAGGAGATGTGTATTCCATTCCTTCAGCACTTTGATGCTGCTTTTGGACCTCACTTTGCCAGTACAATTTCTCACCTGTCATGCCTCCTCCTAGATTTGCTCAAAGATCACATCTCTCGTTCGTTTCATTTTTCTAATCACTTTCATGTAATCTAGGTTATCCTCTAACCTTAGCTGTACTTCAAGGATAACCAAGGTGTAGTGTAATCATATTTTTTTACATAATGGTGTAGTGTAATCATGGACCAGAAAGCACTGCCAGTTTGCCATCTGAAACTCCTGTTCATTCTCTTTTACTACCATTCAGAGATCGATCTAAGAGGGGGGGAAAGGAGAAGGGAGAAAATTACACGACTCAAAAAGCAAAGGACAAAAGAAGGCATGGCAGTGATGGCTTGCTTTGGTTCTACCCTGACCACCAGCACTACATTAGGCCCTTCAAAAGCACATCAGAACCTGCTGCAGAAACAAGAAACTCTGAAGAAAACACACAGCCTGTCTGTCCACAATATATTGTGCAGGGACAGAGAAGTGGCCTTTCCACTTGCATAGTTGCACCACTCCATGAGAAGCTCATAGGAGGCTGGTGGCGGTGGCAGTGCAAAATTTAAAAGAAATTGAAAGTGGCATAGGATTATGAGCAGGCCAGCTTGGTCGTCTGCGAGGGAGGCATTGGCAGCCTCAGCGGTGGCCATCCTCCTTGGAGGCCTTGTTCTGATGTCTTTGGTGGTGGAGAGGGGCGCGAAGACGCCATCGCCAGATGCAGTGGGTGGCAGAAGGATGGTGATCGGAGCCAATGGAAGGTTGGCTGATCAGAGGAGGACAGTGGAGGACCTGAGAGATGGTGATGATCCTTTGAGCAGCAGCAAGAGGCGGGTGCCCAATGGACCGGATCCAATCCACAACAGGTACTTCTCTTTCTTGCGTGCAAACATGGAATGTGCTCCTCGTTCTCTCCCGCTCTCTCTCTCTCTCTTCTTCTTTTTTCTTTTTCTTTTTTTTTGGGGGGTGGGGGGGGGGCATTCTGTCCTTTTTTTTTGTTTGACCAAATTCAAGCTTTCAAGCTGAATACATCTAAAAAATAAGCCTCAATAGTAGCTTGAGATATCCTCACGTTACAAAGCAAGTTCATACTTTGGTCATGTTCCTCCAAGGATCCCTAAACTCCTAAGGATTGTTTGGATACATGTGTTGGAGTGGACTGAGATAGAAATTGAACTAGGTTCCACCCTAATCCACTTCAATACACAAATGGATTGAAGTGGCTACAAGTATATCTGAACAAATCCTAATTGTGGATACGAATGCATCCAACGAAAAGGTCTAATTGTCTTTCTCATGTCATCAGTGTAGAACTGTAGACTAAATCAAAGGTGGTAAACTAGATTACTAAAAATTTGATAGACTGAAGTAAAAAGAGCTGCTTAAATTCTTTTTTTCGGGACCATGTCTAAGCACTAAGCATGTTTTTCATTAATAGGGTAGCAAAACAAGTAGATGAGGCAAGCTTAGGCTTACCTAAGACCGCAGGAACTAGAGGAAGGAAGGAGAGTAGGAGAAAAAGAGCTGCTTAAATTCTGGTTTCAGGCCGTATTGTTTCAATTTTTTTCTATAGATTCGACAGTGCTTATAATCACTGTTCTTTTTTGCTACTATTCTTTCACTGTTCTTTTTTCTTTTTTTTTTGCTATAGATAAGACAGTGCCTATTATACAATTGATTTATTACACCAGGAACCCATTTTGTGGCATCCGTGTTACAATTACTTCGTTGAGCAAATCATGCTATACTTTTAATTTCAGAATTTAGATGTCCCCGAGTTCATGTGTTTGTCTTACGTCATTTTGAAATCGAACCCCTGTAAGACTTGGCTTCCTCTCCTTATATGATATAACAGTGTTCCTGCTATTCTTAAAAAAAAAACAGATGTCATCAGTTCATGATAAAATAAAATTTACCAAGATGCTGTCATTGAAAAAGATTATACACCCTTTGTCCTCATTGCACCAACATCTCCCCTATTCCCATGATGACAATGGTAGGCTAACGTACACTTTGCAAAGGCAAATCTAGCCTGGCTTCCCTAATGAGTACCCTGCATGCACTTATCATACCCTAAATGATCAGTCAACAATATCAGGAGCGCTCAAACAAAGTGCACCTACATGCCATTGCTAATTAGCCACTAGTTAATCAAAAGCTCAAAATGATGCAGTAGTGCAATTCACCTTAAACAACACTTGCAGGGTGTTGCATTGCAACTCTTTCCCTTCCCCTACTTTCCAAAGGCTCACAGTTGTGCATTCTTCCAGGGGAGGTGGAGAATCAGGAAGCTCACCAGGCCGAGCGTAGGCAGCAGTGCACGCAGCCCAATGGATGGAAGTTTCCGGATTACTTGCTCTGGATCTCTCTTCTCATTGTCTTGCAGAGCTGTATATTTTGGTGCCGGGATGTCATGTTCTAAGCACTGCTATTTATGATGATTTCGGCATAAAAACTTTGGCTTTTTCCGAAAACAAAAGCCACTCCACTGATGATGGTTTGGAAAGACTCAAAAGACAGCACTGTCAAGCTTCCCTCTCACGAAAGACATGCATCAGGCCCCCTGTTCGCTTGTCTTATAATTCGTACTTTTCAGCTTATTTTTTCAATCAGAACAGTGTTTTTCTCTCACAACAAATCAGCCGGAACAGTATTTATTCTCCTTTTTTCTGTTTGTTTGTTGCCTTGTTGTATTGATTGGAAGAGCACATTGCAAAGTTTGCTATAGAGGAACAGGTAAAGAGATAAGACTGACCAATAATTTCAAAGGCTTTGTTTGTGATCTGTCTTGTGATGAGATGTGAAACCCATTTGCGACCTATATATGGCCCTAGCACCCAGCCAAAGTCACTTGCTAAAGGTGCTTTTGATTTGCCTATCTATGCGTCCTGTATAACTGTATTAGCATGTTCCTGAAAATAACCACATCGTTTCAACATGTGTTTAAGGCAAACGTGAAACCTTATATATAGAGTTTGACATAGTCAGCCTTTGAACTCCTTACCTTCCAGATAAAATGGTGTCACATTTTCTGTAATCCTCAGTGTAATTTTCTTCAAACTTAGTTTCATTTTCTTTCTATTTAGTTTCATTTTGTTTATATTTCTCCCTCCACTCTATGCTAGTCCCCCATCCTAGAAAAATGGAATAAATTTACTGCACCAAATTAATAACTAGCAGGAAGCATGTATGCTGTACGGGGACAAGATAAAGGGTGGATGGATAGTTAAAGAGAGCTAAAGGAAAAGAAAAGGAGCTCCAACCCTTCCAAAGCACATACGGTACGGTTCTATCTCTTTCTTTTTTTTTTTTTATCTGATACAACATGGACGCACACAACCAGCGGTGGATTCAACGGTGCCCTACCGATATCGGAGCCCTAGAGCCCCCTGAATTTTTAGGCAAAGTTCTATCGTGTAGGTGGGGCTCAGACTTAAGATCGAGCAGCAGTCGGAGGTATGTTGCTGTCGCACTTTTGTCCAGCCCCCTTAAAATTTTTCCTGGATCCGTCGTTGCACACAACCCACATACTCCACACTCACACCATACGCACACATACGCGTACGCGTCCGTACACAAACAAAGAAGAGATTGGGAGGCTCTCTAGCCTTCCGAAAAATGCGCAGGACCACTGAACGCGTGTGTGCGTATACCCTACAAATTCTGGAAAATTTTCAAAAATAGGTATGACACCAGTGTTTAAACCATGGTGGTTAGCGTCCTCCTAGACTGCCTTACCAGTACCACTGGACCACAGACGCATCCGCTCTCCCTCCTTTTCTTGCAAGGCTACGAAAAGGCCCAAAGCAAATTAAAGCGGTCTGAATACATGTTTAGGTGAACTTATCCTCCTACTTAAAATAAATCAATTTTTAAAGTTAGTCTAGTTCAAATTAATTTAGAGTTTAACTAAATTTATGGTAAAGAGTACTATATTTCATAAACTCAAAGGAAACTATGTGCGTCCATGTTTAGGTGAACTTATCATCCTCCTTAAAATAAATCAATTTTTAAAGTTATTCTAATTCAAATTAATTTAAAGTTTAACTAAATTTATGGTAAAGAGTACTAATATTTTTTACATGAAATTAGTATGTGTACATACAGGGTGGATATAGAGCAAACCGTATTTTTTTAGCTTTTTTTTAATTGACATTAATCATATTTATTATAGTTTTCTGAATTGTTTAAGACCGAACTTGAATCCAGGTTCAACAAGCCGAGCCAGAGTCAAAAGTCGATCAAAATCAACTCATTTTATTTTAGAAGAAAACTTTAAAACGAGCCACCAAGCCAGCTGTAAGGTCGAGATGACGGACTAGAGGGAGGATGAATAGTCCTTTCTAAAATTAATCGTGTCGGCTAACCGAAACAAGTGCGGAATTAAAACTATCGGTCTATCCAAGATTACACCCCTTTATTTATGTTCTCTAGCACCTTCCAAAGATACTAATTAAGCAACAAATGTCGAGTTAGCTAGAGCTCACCTAACCAATTCTAGAAACAAGGTCACACAAACCTATGCCACTATTACTTCAAGCAATGAGGGAGCTCCTACACAAGCTAGTAAGCAAAAGCACAAAACCACCTAATAAGCTCACTAGAAATGCTCAATAACAAGGCAACCAATACCAAATTAGAGAGCGCAATTACTTAGCTACACAAACTAAGGAATATGACTAACAAGGTTACACAAACCAAATTAGCCACGCAAGGAAGCTACTTCTATGCTACACAAGCAAGAAGGTAACTAGTAAGCTACACAAGCTAACTAATTACAATAGCAACTACACAAATACAATGTATATGAAATATAAATACAAGCTTGTGAAAGGGGATTGCAAACCAACGGGAAGAACAAGGTTGACACGGTGATTTTTCTCTCGAGGTTCACGTGCTTGCCAACACGTTAGTCTCGTTGTGTCGACCGCTCACTTGATGGTTCGGCGGCTAATTGGCATCACCCGCCAAGCCCGCACGTCGGGCACCGCAAGAAGCTACCCCGAAAGTGAGGATAGCTCAATGACACGCTTTACTAGAGTTGCTCTTCGCGGCTCCCGCGGGGCGAGCACAATGCCCTTCACAAAAGCTCTTCTCCGAAGCACCGCACAAGCTTTTTGCAGGCTTCGACGGAGACCACCACCAAGCCGTCTAGGAGGTGACAACCTCAAAGAGTAACAAGCACTACCGGCTTGCAACTCGATCACCTAGTGCCACTCGATGCAACCTCACGATGCAATCGCACTAGAATCGATCTCTCACACAATCGAATGATCACTATCAAGCATATGTGAGATGGAGTGCTCCCAAGCTTTACCATACGAGCCACCAAGGCTCTAGTGTGCTCAGCTACTGGCCCAAGGCCGACCATGGCTTCTATTTATAACCCCACGAATAAATAGAGTCATTACCCCTTCACTGGGCAAAAGTTGGGCCGACCGGACGCTCCGGTCGTATCGACCGGACGTAGGACCTCAGCGTCCGATCAACGGATGATCGCCACGTGTTGCCTCCGTTCAACCTCAGTCGCTTGATCTCAACGGTCAAGTGATGACCGGACGCAGCTACTCAAAGTGACCGGACGCAGCTACCCCAGCGTCTGGTCGTTTCCAGTAAGGTACCAGTCGCGACCGAACGCGTCCGGTTGGTCACGATCGGATGCAGCATCAGCGTCCGGTCCTTCTCCACCTTCTCTGTGTCGCCTACGTCACCGTACGTCAGCCTGACCGGACGCATGCTGCCAGCGTCCGGTCACTTTCAGCGCCAGCGTCTGATCGAAGACCGACGCTGCACGCTCTCTGCCGACACTGATCGGACGCAGGACCCCAGCGTCCGGTCACCACGTGGTCAGCGTCCGGTCCACTCTGTAAGACCCTGTCTTTTCTATATAGGGCACCGGTGGCACCGTCGGACTATCCGCACTCTACGGGCGGACACTCCGTCGGTAGAGTTTCTAACCCTTCTCGCCTCCGTCTCATCGTCGAGTTGATCCACATCAACTCCAACTTCATCTCCTTTATAAATGTGCCAACACCACCAAGTGTACACCATCATGTATATGTGTGTTAGCATTTTCACAATCATTTTCCAAAGGATTAGCCACTCAACTTGCCACGCCACTCAATCCTAGCGACGATGCAAAGTTAGATCACTCGAGTGGCACTAGATGACCGATATGCAAACAAGTTTGCCCCTTTTGATAGTACGGCCATCTATCCTAAACCCGGTCATCAACTTCTTTACACACCTATGACCGGTGAAATGAAATGCCCTAGGTTATACCTTTGCCTTGCGCATTCCATTCCATCTCCTCCAATGTCAATGCAACACATGCACCAACATGATCAACAATGATATGATCCACTTCATATCATCACGTGATTATATTGGTTCATCGATCTTGACTTCACTTGCTTTTCACCGTTGCCTTCGTCCATCGGTGCCAAGTCTTGCTCAAGCTTCACCGCCACACGGTCCATTGCTCCAAAGCCTCCGACTTGCCCTTCACGCTTGCAACTGGTCCATCAAGCCAAGTCTTGTCTTGATCTTCTCCACCTTGATCACATGACTCAATGTCATGTCTCATATGCAATAAGCTCCTTCATCATCACATGTGTGAGCTTTGCAACATCTCCAAACCATTTTCACCTTCACGGCATATGTTGCTCACACATATGTACTTGTGGACTAATCACCTGTATATCTCACATAAACATAATTAGTCCATCTAGGTTGTCACTCAATTACCAAAACCACACAATGACCTTTCACCAGCTCAACGATTTTGTTGTCTAGCCCTAGTAGATATACCGAAATACATTTTCAGAATCTACTTATTTGGTGTCATAAATGTTGTTATTCTTTACCAAATAAAAAGTTGATCAAACTCAAAATAGTTTAACTTAAGGTGATTCTAAGAGTTTATTTATTTTGAAATGGAGAGAGTACATATACTATTGCGTCGTCTGTTTGATTGGGCTCCTTCGGGCTCCGGCTTCAGGCTATATTACCGAAGGAGTCACAAATCGTGACTTCTCCTGTTCCCAAATCATTTTAGCATGAGAGAGAAAATGGCTCATTTGAACAGTGCTTCTACAGTATGAGGTGTAGGAGGAGCTGGAGCCACACAAAAAAAAGCCCTGCCAAACATGCCTTGAAGTCCTTTTTGGTAGAGATTCACATGGCTTCAGCTTCATCTATTGTTGCATTGTTCATATATACTATAGTGTTGCTGTTTACAAAGCTCTTTTCCTATCTCCTCTCAACATTAGGAGTCGGTGAAGCTACTTTTTTTTTTTTGTTTCACGACTACTATAACAAGAAGGCAAAGCTGGTGAAGCTCTAAACAGGACCTAAAGCTTGGTACTGTTAAAAGTACATCCAGCATGTGTGTAGATTTAGTGTTTTGTACTCCTTTATCACAACGATAGTATTGGCGCATCTCCTATGCATTGTGTGGGAATAATTTGGAACGGGTAAGTGCTTAGGTTGGAACCTTTGTTCATCATGTATAGTTAGCATAGTTGATCCATGTTCCTTCGGTACACTACCGAGTAAGACTCTAAGGACCTATTTGTTTCGGCTTTTATTTGCCTTCTTTCATGACCGTGTCGAAGTACGTTTTTCATTAAGCAGAAGTAGAATTTAACAATTTAGAATAGAAGTAAACAAACAGTTCAGCACGCTTTAATTTGGCTTCTGCCAAGACAAAAGTCAAAAGCTGAAACAAACAGTCCAGCTGTGGAGTTAGCTTTTGAAAAGTCAAAAGGCTGCCTTACGAGAAAATGAACTAAAACCTGATTAACATGTTTTGAGCAGTTTTTTAACTTTTGGTGTACGGGGAAGCTAAAAAATTATTACAAAATCCAGTAACAAAAGATCAACCATCAAAAGCCAACAAGCTAGCTTTTGAGACAAAAGCCAAAAAAGCTAAAGCTCAAACAAACGGACCCTAAATTTATTTGAGTACAATATAAGTTGGTCCACGTATAATAAATATATTATATTTCTAGGATTGTGTCTTGGGCCCTGTTCGTTTCATTGAAATTTGGTCTATACTGATGTTTATGTTGATTTATTATGAGAGAAAATAATATTCATTCACTGGTCTGTTTGGATCTATTAGCACTAAAGTTAGCGGCCAGACCTACTAATTATTAGCTGAGATGCTGCTAAATACTAGTTCTATTAGCATGTTTGGAGTTGCTAATAGGTACTAAAAGTTTATATGTATCTTTAATCCACTGTCCAATTATCTATTAGGAGATGGATCTAAACTGTGTTTACTAAAAAATAGTTAGCTAAGAATAACAGCTATTGGTCCCGTTTGCTTCGTAAAAAAACAAATCGAAACATTGTTCTGGCTGAAAAAAAAAGTTAAAAAAAATGGATTATAAGATAAGCGAACAAGACCATTAGCTAGATAATTCTTAGTGCTAATAGATCAAACATGTCCTTAGGTTATTGAAAAGAGACTGAAATACTCTCTCTGTTCCTTAAAAAAATTGCAATTCTAAAACAGTGCTACGTTTCGGTATATCAAGTTGACCCCAATTGCCTATGCAATGATGCAATATTCTCATGGATCTATCTACCCCTTCGTTCCCGATTTATTACGCCATGGCAGCTGCTGAACTGCTACCCAGCTGCTTGCGCGCCATTTATTGTTGCCACGGTGCCACTGCTCTTCACCTGTCCCTGTCCTCTCCTCCCCTTTAAAAAACCATCGATCGTTCTCCATCCAGTTCCGTCGAACACCCACCAGACCAGACACGCACTGACCACTGTGCTCACCTCAGCCACCTCGAAGAGAAGATCTAGCAAGCGAGCGGCCAATGGCAGCAAAGTGGTGCTTCATCGCCTCCTTGCTGCTCTGTCTCGCCGTCGCATCGGCGGCGGCAAGAGCAATGCCCCGCCACTGCGACACCAGCACCGCCACCTTCGCAGCGGTCGCCGGCGCCGTGGACGAGGCCAAGACCGCCGACGTTTTTGGCGGCCGGACCAGCGGCGGCGGGCTCTTCGGCGGCGTCCACGGCCCGCTGGGCGGGGGCATCGCTGGGTTCGGCCCGTTCGGCGGGGCCGTCGCCGGCGCAGGGCCGTTCGGCGGGTTCGGAGGCGGCGCCGGCCTCGGTGGCGGTGGCGGAGGAGGAGGCGGCGTCCCGTAAGGCGTGCGTGGATGGGATGCATGCGTGTGCGCGTGTAATAAGTTGTCTATACGTACGTGTACCTACGCCGCGTACGTGTATACATGTGTGGGTCGTCAGAGTGTACTCGGTGTATTATGTTTTGTACAATGTAGAACATGCATGTCAATGTTTTGGTCGTGTCGATCGGTCGAGAGTCGTCGTGCCCTGATGTACGTAGATGTATGTTGGACCTGTACTGTACCCTTCGCTCTGTGACTTGTATGTTCACCAAATCATCAGCATCACATTGAACTAACGTCGCCACTGTCATTTTGTATGTTTGGCCGGTTGCTCGTTCTTTCGAGACTTAGGGTTAATTAAATTGTGTTCTCCTTCTCTCTCCGTAAACTTTCTTTTGAATCACAAAATAAAGAACTAGTGAAGACAAAAATAATGACTTCATCGTCCTAGTTCATTTTGTGAAGACAAAAAAAAACAGCTCTTCGCCACGGTGCACGGAGACGCCGAAGACGTCCGGACCTCTACCAAATGAGGTCTTAATATTTCACAAAAATCTATAATAATATCTCTTAATATTTTTATTTATATCAAGAGAGAGTTGTATTAAATCATTTTTTTATATATACCTATGTATATAAAGAGCATAATATAATGATACAAAAACACAACTAGATAATAAAATTATTAGGATAGGTTGGCTCTCTCATTATGTGCTTGGACTTTATTCTCTCGTTCCAAATTAGAATGTCAATACCACTAAAATATAGCATCTTAGATCCTAGAATACATATAAGAAATTATGAGCATCTTTTTAAATTGAAATGCCGGGGGTTGTCTTGCCACAGTGGATCGAGTTTTTTTTAATATATATACTATTTAAAATGGAAACAGATACATGTTGTGAAAAGCACTTTCACGACAAATCTGTCGAACAATAATTCTACATTATTGTTGACATTCAAATTGGGCCCAAACTGATTTTAGAATCGGTCCATGCTAGTGTTGGTCCAATCCAAGGGAAACCCTATGAAAGAACATAGAAATAGTACCATATTGGTTTTACAACGGAATAAGATCACCCTTTCTCCATATAAAATATGGGGTACACGGATGATTGATATATCCAACTAAACGATCCATCTATTATCAATTTATCCATATCCATTTTTTAAATTAGTGGGTTTGAACCCCTATATTTTAGGATGTAGAACACCCTCATCGTACGTCTCCTTGGACTTTATTCTTCTTGGAGGCAAATTAGAATGGATATATAGGGCGAAGAACGAGAGGTTTTTCAATCCTTGAGAAGATCTTCTAAAATCGGAATACCGTTGAGACCTCCCTTTATTGTGATCGAGGTTTTTTATGGATATATACTATTTAAAATGGAAACAGATACATGTTGTGAAAGCACTTTCACGACAAATCTGTCGAACAATAATTCTACATTATTGTTGACATTCAAATTGGGCCCAAGCTGATTTTAGAATCGGTCCATGCTAATGTTGGCCCAATCCAAGAAAAACCCTATGAAAGAACATAAAAATAGTACCACATTGGTTCTTACAACCTGGATGCATGATTCCTTTTCTATTTTATAAAATATGGGGAAACCGAAAATAATGTCTCGCTTGGTATAAGCGATCCATCTATTATCAATTTATATCCATATCCATTTTTACCTCCTTTTTTAGATCGACCCTTGTTGTCCTACTGAAAAGAACACCTCAAAGACGAGCCCGTGACGCGTTCGGCATGTCCGCGCACCTCCACAACGCTTTTTGCAGCGGAGTCTAATCACGTTGCGCGCGTGTTCTCGTCTGCTAGGCCATTTGTGGCCTCTAGAGGATCTCACACACATCTCGCTCGGCCCACGCATGCCTCGCACAGGCTGTTGTGTGTGGCTTATTGTCAATTTGGTTTTATGAGCAGTAAAAAAGGGCAGCGTGGCCACCGTAAGGTGCAGTCTGTGGCCAGCCCCACTGATGTTCAATCTCGTGTCTTATCAACCTGCGCCAGTTGGACCTTTTTCGTATTTTGTGTGATATAGGAAAGCGAACGCAGTCTCACCTGGTATACAGCTCCGGTGCTCCGATCTGCGCGATCTAGGTATGGCCGTATGGCACTCTCTCTTTAGATCAAGGTAGTTCTTGGTGGGTAACGTTGAAAGGGTCAACCAGAAAGACGAGCCCGAAACGCACAGATGATGTGCCTCGCTCACCTCCACAACGCTTTTTAGCGGAGCTCACGCCGCGCGCGTGTTCTCGTCTCGTGGCCCATTAAATATAAATAAAAAGGGTCTCACACACATCTAGCTCGGCCCACGCATTTAATCGCACAGGCTTCCGTGTGTTGGTCACTAATTACCAAACAACAACGAAAGAGGTGCAGTCTGTGGCCAGCTCACTGGTTCAGGTCCTCGCCGAAGTTGCATAGCCAGTTGGACCTTGCCAGATCGGAGTAGTATAGCGAACGCAGCCACACCTGCCAAATCCCTCTCCGGCTCTCCGATCTGGCGATCTAGGTATGGCCGTATGGCTCTCATCTCTCACCAATACAAGGTAGTTCTTGGCATCGGTAACGTTCAGCCACAACCATATGGCTGTTCGAAACCACAGATGACCAAAGGCCAAAAATTTCCTGATGTCCCTGCTGAGGTCATTACATCGAAAGCCCACCAACCTGATGTCCCTGCTGATCCTGATTCCAGTGGCAGGTGGCCGCCTAGCTGACCCACGCGAAACTATCCGTGACACAACAGCCACTCCAACCCTGAGGGCATGACCAACGCAGGCGAACAGTACCGTCAGCCTCAACCTGGAAGTTGTAGTCTTCCACTTTGCGACGAGGTTGAGACAAGGAGAAACGCGCATTCAGTATCTTCTTGTTGCTTGACTGTTTGAAGATCCTGACCCATGTTTAGTTTGCTTTTCCAAAAAATTCCGAAAAGAAGATTTTTTACATCAAACTCTCTCTCCATCAGTCTTAAATGTTGACGAAATCAAAACTAATTCAGACAGTTGGGTATTAAATGTACAGAAAAATAACTAATTACACAGCGTTGAGTAATTAAATCAAGATAAAACAAAACGCTATAGTGCATAAACAGTGTCGCCGAATCCGACGGCGCCGAATCGGCCTCCAACTAAACACGGCCCTCCTCATGCGCGTTCGGCTGCTCTAGAAGGCAGCCGAAGCGGCTGCTTTTGAGCACTGTAGCAACAGTGACTTGTGTCGGAACGTGGAGCAGCCGAACGAGCCGGGACTGTATTTTATTTTGGGTCCCACCAAGCATGCAGCAGTTTGCAGCTCTTTTTTCCACCTTGCTGCTTTTCTCTCGTCGCCCTGCTGGTTGCTGTGCATGGCAGAGGCTATCGTTCGCTGCAACGCTCGCGCTTCTGCAAGCTATCATGACAGACAGCGAGGCTACCATCCGGATAAATGCAGACGTGTTACTTGAGGCTGCATGACAGTGTAGCGTTGGGGCTGGCCTCACGTCCGCAGCCAGCAAGCAACTGTGCTGCCGCCGCCGGCACAAAATAGCATTCAGACTGACACGACTGGGCTCTGGCCACTGGGAACTGTCCAGGTGCTCAAAACGGTTTCGGTTCGTTTTACATATCGCAGGTGGAAAATGGGCATTGTCAAACATTGCCTGCAATCTGGGGAGCAAACGTAGTAACATCTACTGATATAGGAGTAGCAGCAGCATGGATCAGGGTAGCACACAAGCTATACATGCACAATAGTAGCATCCAAAATTACACGACACAACCCCCCTTTCACCCGGTTCACCCAGTCACTTCCCAACCAACCAACAGCAATCAACACCGACATCAGGAATAATAACTCTCTCTGATGATCACCAAGAATAATCAGCGCAGGACTCAACACGACGACTAAAAGAGCAAAACTCCACATGGTCTGTGCCAGGCACGGCCCATCTGTAAGTCCCACCCCCCACTCCTCACTTGCTGCCGCACTTGAAACCGTGGCACACCGACAGGATGATGATGAGGATGAGCGCGATGATGATGCCCAGGACGATCAGCTTGATCTTCATGTTTTGGAGCCACATCTTTCGCCGCACCTTGGTGCCCTGCTGTCTGAAATCTTGTGCCTGCAAACAATGTTTTCAATTCTCATCACAGGTTACATGTATGCTGATTGGCTTGTTTGAATAGATCCTAGTTAGCAATTAAAGCTGCTGCTTTCTTTCTTATCGTTATTTATTTCCCTATTTCTCGGCCTTACCTGCCAAATGCTCATTGTACGAGATAAATGGGTAAACCCACACACATCAGTAGTATAAGAATTTGGGCTAAAACATCTATGTGCAACTCCAGATTACTATAGAGTACATATTTACGAGGTCATTAGAAAATAGACCAGATCAGAACCACCATTAGTTAGTAAACAAAATTAGCAACTTATCCTCAAGCAAGCAGACAGTGCAACTAATGCTACCGAGAACCAGTGACATAGCAGCTAGTCAGCTACCAAATCTGTGGAAATAATTATACCAGTCAGTTTAACCAGAGATCAAGTGATCAACTATAGATGCATAATAATATAGTGTCTCTGCTATGTAACAGCATGCTAGTCATCTAACATAAGATCGCTTCACCTTAGAAGCTATTCCTTATGGCTTGCTAGTTGTCCGACAGAAAAATGTTAGCTCAGACTAAAGGATCTGTTGACCTTCAAGACAGAGTTTTCGCAGCATGATGTTTTGACCAGTTAATTTAACCAATCATCATGTTTCAACTTTCAACTGATAATAAAACACATGATACCTGTTCTAGTGAGAATTATTTAACAAATTACGCGATCCCTACAATGCAGTAATGACATTTCAACGAACAAGGTCACTAGCACTTTAGATGGATTTGAGTAGTGCAGATATCAGACTTCTACAGCATATCAAGTTAAATTTATTATATACTTAACGTTAAGGGTCAAGAAGCTATACACTTTTTTTTTCTCAGGGTGAAAGACCTATGCTAACTTCTATAGCC